TCCTTATCTTCTCTCCTGTGTCACAGAGAGGACACGGTGACCTCATTCCAGGTGGCTCTGAGGAGCAGAACAATGACCCATGGAAAGAAGCCACTGGGAGGCAGAGTTGGCTCCAATAAAAAGAGGTAACCAGGGTGGTGCACCGAAGCCCTGGGTAGGCACAGCAGAAAGTGAGAACTCATCCCCCAGGGTGTGTACCAAGGGTGGAGATGCTGTAGCGCCTTCTAAGGCAGAATTGTGCAGCTGGAGGCTCCCGCAGCTGAGAATGATCAGCTGTGTCTATGTGCATGTGCACACAGGTGTGCTCTCCTAGGGACAGGGGTCATGGCTCCCTTGAGGTTCTCCAAGGAGTCTGTGACCCAAACAAGGGTCAATGGACTGGCCCACTGGGTCCTTCCAGGGCCCCTGCCTGCTTTAAAATCCCATGACCAGGCCAGGCGCCATGGCTCACGCTTGTAACCCTAGCACTTTGGGAGGCAGAGGTGAATGGATCACTTGAGGCCAGGAGTTTGAGACTAGCCTGGCCAACAACAACAACAACAAAATTAGCCAAGTGGGGTGGCGTGCACCTGTAATCCCAGCTACTTGGGAGGCTGAGGCAGGAGAATCACTTGCACCAGGGAGGCAGAGGTTGCAGTGAGCCAAGATCGCAACAGTGCACTCCAGCCTAGGTGACAGAGTAAGACTCTGTCTCAAGAAAAAAAAAAAATCCCATGACCGCCAGTGTAGATGCACAAATGTCCTGATGATGAGGAATAGGTAAAGAGAGCTCAGAGTGGCAGAAAGAACCTGGGGGCTCACTGAGACTGAAAATGGCTCTGTGAGCTCCACTCTCCAGAGCAGAGTGTGCCCCAAATCCAACCACAGGAACCACCCATTTGGCAAGCTTGGAGCCCCTCATGCTCCTCCCCTTGCTGAGGCTGGAGTACCTCCAGAACCCCAACTGCAAAGGGTCCAGGGGTTCCACATTCATCACACACCAGCCTTGGTGCCTGGCATGGGTGCGGCCTTTCTCCAGGACACCTCACCAGCCAGCAGGTGTCTTTTTGTTTTTCACCACTTCCTTCTGTCTTCTACAATTAGAGACCCTCTAATGGCCAGGCACCGTGGCTCACACCTGTAATCGCAGCATTTTGGGAGGCCAAGGCAGGTGGATCACCTGAGGTAAGGAGTTCAAGACCAGTCTGACCAACATGTTGAAACCCCATCTCTACTGAAAATACAAAAATTAGCCAGGCGTGGTGGGGCATGCCTGTCATCCCAGCTGCTTGGGAGGCTGAGGCAAGAGAATCGCTTGAACTCAGGAGGCAGAGTTTTCAGTGAGCCAAGATTGCACCATTGCACTCCAGCCTGGGCAATAGAGTGAGACTGCATCTCGAAAAAGAAATAAAAGGAAAAGAGACCCTCTAGTTTATTTGATGGCAATGTAGAGTGACTTGTGAACCGCTGTTCCCAAGCAGCAAGGCAAGGAGGTAGAGAAGGAGGGGTGAAAATGGACTACAAACACCAGAGTCCTGGCCCCATCCCTGAGTGACCTGCAGCACACTTTCTTTCCTCACTGGGTCTCAGGTTCCACGCCTGTGAGCATGAGGAGCAGACTCTGTGGGGACGCCGTGCCATGATGTATGTGTGTGCCTAGCCCAGTGCCTGGCACACAGAGGGACCTCAACAGCGTTTGTGGCTCACTTTGTACCTCTCAGGGCTGTTTGGGGATTAAGTGAAAAAAATACACAGAGCACCTGGCTCCAAGCCTGGCACATAGTGAGCGCTTGATGACTTCCACTTTGTGCCCCTCCTGTGCACGCCCATGCCATGGGCTGAATCATGTCCCTCCCTGAATTCATATATCGATGTCCTAACCCCTAGTACCTCAGAATGTGGCTATATTTGGAGACATGGTCTTTAAAGAGGTCATTAAGTTTGAGTGAGCTCACTGGGGGGCCCTGACCCAATCTGACGGGTGGTGTCCTCATAAGAAGAGATTAGGATACAGAGAAGCATAGAGTGAATGCCATGTGAACACAGAGACTGAAGGCGGCCACCTACAAGCCACGGAGAGAGGCCTTGGAGGAAGCCATCCCAGGGCACACCTTGATCTGGGAATTCTCACCTCCAGAATTGCAAGAAAATCAGTTTCTGTTGTTTAAGCCACCCAGCCTGGAGTACTTGTCATGGCAGCCGGAGCAAATGTGGACACGCTGCACTTCTCAGCTCTGTGCCTTTATCCAGCCCGCAATGCGGCCCTGCCCAGTCCTGAGGCCCAGTCCTCACCCATCTGGCTTAACACCCCCGTCTGGCACCATGCTACTCAAAGTGTGGCCGTGGACCAGTAGCCCTGGCATTCCCTTCGAGCATGTTAGAAATGCAGACTGTCAGGCCCCACTCAGACCTACTGAAGCAGAATCTGCATTTTAACAAGCTCCTGGTGATTCTCAGGCTCATTAAGGTCTGCGAAGTTCTGATGAAGGCTCATTAAGGCTCCCTCCAGGGCGTGCCTTGGGCCTCAGGACTGGAGTGCTCCCTGAGTCGTGGGTGCTGGTCACAGCTGTAGCTCCTTCCACCCCTCAAAGGACAGGAGCTGGAGGAGGAGAAAGGAGGTGGCAACATGGGGCAGCTTTGGGTGACCTTCTCAGGGGAAATAACCACTTGTGAGCCCAGAGAAGCTCCCCTGGAGGACCACCTGCTTCTGCTGTCAGTGGGAAGTCACCTCCAAGCTCCTCTGGTCCTTTAGTCCATCATTTTCTTGACACGGGTGGGGAAACTGAGACCAAGATTGGCTACATAACTTTTGGGGGCTGTGCAAAATGAAAACTGGAGGCACCTGCTTCAAACACTTTGAAGAATTTCAAGATGGTAACAGTAGAGCATTACACCAAGCATGGGGCCCATCTAGGCATGGGGCCTTGGGCTCGGGTGGCACACCTGTGAGGCCAGCCTGAGGCAGAGATGGCTCCCCAGTGAGCCAGAGCTCACCCAGCCTAACCTGAGGCCTCCTGAATCCCGTCGCTCCTCTTTCTATCAGGGCACCCCCTTACCCTTGCCCTCAGAGCTTGTCAGCCTCCGGGGATCTAGCTGCAGCCAGGCAGGGAGGCGCTGGGACGAGGAGGGAGTCCAGGGCTTGGCAGCCTCCTTCCACCCCAAGCGTAGGGGGCCTGACCTCCTGGCTGCTTCCCAGACGCACAGATTCCTCTGGCTCTGTGGGCCCAGCTCATCTGAGTAGTTCTGTGCCACTCCCAGCTGATGGCACAGGGGTGGGAGATGGCACCAAGAAGGAAGAAGGGGCCCCAGACACAAGATCTGCTGACCTCACGATTTCACACCCACTCTGCCTGGGCCACTAGCAATTGATGACACTTGCTATTGCCTGATTGGCACACATCTTCTCTTTCCTGCTTCACTGAGCCACTTCTCCCCATGCCTTGTTCAGGTAGTGCTATGTCCACCCCTGCTCCAAAGGTGGGCATGGAACTTAGGTCCCTCTAGTGCCCTTCTCCACAGTGGTACATCCAGAGATGGACCCTTGATCCAAGAGAATCTAGCAAAACTCAATCCCTGAACTTTCACTGAAAATATTGAGATTGCTAGCTGTAAGAATGATGGAAGGCTGGAGCTTCCTGGAGTCCCTTCATGGAGTAAGGAAGGCTTGCCTCAGAATGAAGCCAGCAGAAGGAAGCAGAGAGAGAGAGAGAGAAAAAAAAAAAAAAGCCCTAGGATAGATATTGTTGGGATCCTGGATCCAGCTGTGCCTGAAGTCCTTGACTTCTTAGTTCTGTGTGCCAATAAATTCCATTTTTGCTTAATACAGTTGGAGTTGAGTTTTTGTCAGTAGCCATCAAAAGAATGCAGCTTGGGAGGCCAGGCTTGATGGCTCACGCCTGTAATCCCAGCACTTTGGGAGGCCGAGGCAGGTGGATCACCTGAGGTCAGAGTTTGAAACCAGCCTGACCAACATGTTGAAACCCTGTCTCTACTAAAATACAAAAAATTAACTGGGCGTGGTGGTGGGCACATATAATTTCAGCTACTAGGGATGTTGAGGCAGGAGAATCGCTTGAACCCAGGAGGTGGAGGTTGCAGTGAGTCGAGATCACGCCATTGCACTCCAGCCTGGGCAACAAGGTGAAACTCCGTCTCAAACAAACAAACAAACAAACAAAAAGGCAGCTTGGAATGTGTGCTCAGAGGTATCCAAGCTTGTCCACTCACACTTGTAATCCATACAGACCATGGATTCCCTAGATCTGGGAAACCTCACAACACAGTGGGAGTGGTGAACGGTAGAAAAGTTGAGATCATGAGTCACTGATGGGTATCCTGGCCTCCTTTGAAGAGCATTCCCGGGTCTAGAAGGCCTTTTTCTTTGATCCATACAACAGCCCTACAAGGCAGACAGGTCAGGGACTATAACTGATAGGCCAAAAGGGAAACTGAGGCTCAAATAAGGGAAATGGCTTGCTCAAAGTCATACTGGTAGTAAGCGGCAGCGCTGGGTGGAATTAACACTCATGAGCACCTGATTCTGTCTAGATAGCTCGCCTCTGTGCCACCAGAGCAGCCTGTACTCAGCTCAGGATGTGTCTACAGAGTAAAGAAAAGTCCTACACTGAGTTCACTTTGTTTTTGTTTTTTGTTTGTTTTGTTCTGAGACAGAGTCTCACTCTGTCATCCAGGCTGGAGTGCAGTGGTGTGACCTTGGCTCACTGCAGCCTCCACCTCCCTAGGAGTTCAAGTGATTCTCCTGCCTACGCCTCCCTAGGAGCTGGGATTACAGGCACCTACCACCACACCTGGCTAATTTTTGCATTTTTAGTAGAGACAGAGTTTCACCATGTTGGCCAGGCTGGCCTTGAACTCTGTGAGTTCAAGTGATCCACCCGCCTTGGCCTCCAAAAGTGCTGGGATTACAGGTATGAGCCACCATGTCCAGTCAGAGTTCAGTTTGACTGTGACCTCACAATATGGTTTGGTGGTTCTTTCCCCTTTCCCATTCATTACAACTTCCCTCCGAGCCACAAGGCCCTCCCTCCCAGCAGCAAAAGCAGTCAGAGTACAATGTTCCCTAGTCTGATCTGCTCTTACCTTCCTTCATTCATTCAATCATTCACTCAGCTGACCAGCAGACACTGGATGACCACCCCAGGGCCAGGCCTTGTGGCAAATGCTAGAGTAATGATCAGACACATCACACCTGCTTTCTAGAAGGCCTCCCTCACAAACCAGATCAACTGCTATGATAAAAGTAAGACAAGGAACAGTGTTGCAGAAGGCAGGAACAAACAACTACAGCAGAGTGGTCAGAGAAGGCTACACAGAGTTGATTGCACTGGACATCAGAGATTGAGGAAGAATGTTCTTGGAAGACAAGGTAGGAAGATCATATCTTCCAGTGGAGGTGTGAGACAGTCTCGGCCATTCAGGGACGTGCAGGTGGAACAGGCATCTTCTTCCAGGGGGTGACAGGTGGCAGGAGGTGAGACCACAGTCTCAGTCAGAGGCCAGGTCAAGGAGGACCTACCAGTGGAGCTCAGGAGGTGATGGGGCACTGTGCCATGGTTAGGTTTGCTCTTAGAAAGGCCACGCTGCTGGGTGGGGAGAAGGAGAGATTGAAACCGCAAGTTTGAAGAGGAGGCCATCTGATGGTCACTGGCCATGGCTCAGGCAAAAGAGGACACAGGCCTGAACAGAGGCAATAGCAGTGGGGATGGTAGGGAGGGGACTGGCTAAAGGATTGAGAGCTTTTTGGTATCCCTTAGATGTGGGGAGTGAGTCGACAGGTGGGTCCCAGGTTTCTGGCTTAACTGGCTGAATCAGGGGTGTAGCCCTACAGTGAGATGGGTGTAACAGAACACTTTTGGTTGAAAATGTCTGAAAACCTAGTCAAACTGACCTTTAAAAAAAGGGAAGAGGAGTGCAGTGTTCATATAACTGAACAGTATGAGGGTCACATAATCAGCATATCCTCCCCCCATCTCCCGGCTCATGTACTTTGTGCTGACTCCATTCTTGACAGTTCTTCCCATATCTTTTCAACATGGCTGCCAGCACCTCTCTGAACTACATCCTTCCGGGTTTAAATCCAACAAAAACACACAAGAGCTTGTGTCCAAGCGTTCCCATGAATAGTCTGAGATTTGCCCTGATTGGACCAGCTTTGGTCACATGCTCACCTCCAGCCAATCGCTATGGCTGTGCTAATTGACTTAGACCTAATCCATGAGCTCCACCCCTTAAGCTTTGGTGGAGCCATAGAAACTGTAAGGACTAAGAGGCGAAGGAGTGGACCCCAAAGAAATACTCAGGCTCTTGCTAGGACAAAGGGAAAGAAATAGATGCCAGTGAGATAGACCAGATTTTTTTAGCTTTGTGGGCAGCATGAGAGAAAGAATAGTAGGTTAGGGGAGGACAAGATGATGAGTCCAGATTAGAAGGTGTTGTGTTTGCAGGCTGTATGGTGCAAGCAGAGGACATGGTCAGCAGGTAGTCAGTTAGGGAGAGACCCATGCTGGAGAGGGATCTGGAATTGCCAGTGTGTAGGTGGTGAGTGAGAAGCTGAAGAAGGCAATAATGATGCAGACTTTGGAAGCCATTCTGGACTCCCTGCTTCAGGAACTGCAAGTCTGATCTAGTGAAAGTCTCTTGCTTTCTTTGCTCTTTAGGATTAGGCAGTGCAACAGCCCTTGTGATCCTGAAGTGAGCAATGCCCCAGCCTCCTCCTTTCAACACCAGCTCTCACTTCTTGTCTTAGATTGCTTTGCACCTTCCTCTCCCTTAGATGATGTCAGGACTTGAATATATTTGATAGTGATTTGGACCACTGACGCTACAAATGAAAGAGATCGATGCTGGGCCCTGGGACCAGGACATGTGACACAGCCAGAGTCCCTCATGGCTCATGGGCATGTGCTGGGACTGACATATGCCCATCGGGATGTGTCTCGGGAGAGGCTAGCATCTCCCGAGAAGACGGAAGGACAAGCAACTCCAAATGGGGATGACATTGATGACTTTTCCACCTCTCCTGGTAACTTTCTCCCCATGCCCATCATGTCGTTGCACCTCTGACAGTACTGGGAGAGGTGCCAAAATGAGGGACAGTACTTGGGAGGACACCAAAATGGGGGAAAGTTTGTGAAATGTTGCAATGGGAGAAAGGAACTCAGTGGCCCATGTAAGTCTTGAATATGTTTGAGATGTGGCATTACCTGTCTTTATATCTTCACAAGGATAATAAGCATCTCCAGTGTTACTGTAAGCCAGTGTGATCCCTATCTTCATTATTTTTTGCCTGGAAACTCCTGGCCCATGACTATTGTAAAAAGTCCTGGCAAAGTGTGCCTAGCCGACATCCACTCTCCTCTTCTTCCTTACTATCAAAACCTTGCATTTGTTTAGGATGGCAATGTGCCAACTAGAAAAGCCACACTTGACTGGGCACAGTGGCTCATGCCTGTAATCCCAGCACTTTAGGAGGCCAAGGTGGGCGAATCACGAGGTCAGGAGTTGAGACCAGCCTGGCCAAAGAGACTAGGCTGGCCAACGTGGTGAAACCCCATCTCTACTAAAAAATACAAAAATTAGCCTGGCAAGGTGGCGGGCACCTGTAATCCCAGCTACTCAGGAGGCTGAGGAAGGAGAATTGCTTGAACCTGGGAGGAGGAAGTTGCAGTGAGCTTAGATCCCACCACTGCACTCCAGCCTAGCCACAGAGCGAGACTCTGACTCGAGAGAAAGAAAAGAAAGAAAGAAAGAGAGAAAGAGAGAAAGAGAGAAAGGGAGAAAGGGAGAAAGAGAGAAAGGGAGAAAGAGAGAAAGGGAGAAAGGGAGAAAGGAAAAAAGCCACATTTAATCTCCTTTGCAGCTAAGAGGCAACATACATGGAAAAAAAAAAAAGAAAGAAAGAAAGGAAAAAAGCCACATTTAACCTCCTTTGCAGCTAAGAGGCAACATACATGGCTGGACAGTGAGATTGTGTTAATGTGGATTATTCCTCAGCAAATATGCATTCTTCTCCTCTCTCATTGTGAATAGAGTCTAATTACTTACCCACTGATGTTGAGCTTAGTAACATGACTTCCTTTGGAATGTTAGTGGAAGGAATAAGCAGAAACCTTTTATTTGCTTGCATAGTTTGGTTTCCTTCTTTTCATGATTCGTCATGAGAAGAATCCACCCAGGTAATCACTGCTTGCTCAGATCCCAGCAAGTTCTGGATCCCAGAACTAGTGCTGTTAGAGCCACGACCAGCCGATCCAAGTCTGGAGCACTGCTCAGATGAGCCCAGTCTGAATTTGGGAGTGGTTGTTACAGAGCATTACCCTGGTAATAACTGACTGATGCAGAGATATATGTAGACATCACTGGTGGAGCCCCCAGGAAAGCTCTTTAACAGAAGACAGACTCAGCTGGCAGGTCTTTTGCCCTTTCCCCTTCTCCTCCTTGAATGCAGACAGGTTCAATGCTTGGAGGGGTGAGAGGAGGCAGCCATCTTATAACCACAGGTGACAGGAAGACACTAAACACGGCCGTGCGGAAAGACAGAAGGCGCCTCCATCCCTCAGCACCACAGAGACATCGTATCAGCCTAGAAATGCCTAAATCTGAACTTCCTCTTACCTAAGAAAAATAAAACCTCAATTTGATTCAGTCACTGTTTTACAGGTTTCTGCTACTTCTGATAGATGGCCAGGCACAGTGGCTTACCCTATAATCTCAGCACTTTGGGAGGCTGAGGCAGTCGGATTACCTTAGGTCAGGAGTTCGAGACCAGCCTGGACAACATGATGAAACCCCGTCTCTATCAAAAATACGAAAATCAGCTGGGCCTGGTGGCAGGAGCCTGTAATCCCAGCTACTCAGGAGACTGAGGCACAAGAATCACTTGAACCCGGGAGGTGGAGGTTGCAGTGAGGCGAGATCACATCACTGCATTCCAGCCTGAGTGACAGAGTGAGACTCTGTCTCAAAAAAAATAAAATAAAATAAAATAAATTCCTGATAGACACAGGTAACTAACTATTGGTATTAGAGCCACAACTGGCCAGGCACGGTGGCTCACACCTGTAATCCCAGCACTTTGGGAGCCCAAGGTGGGTGGATCACCTGAGGTCAGGTCAAGACCAGCCTGGCCAAAATGATGAACCCCGTCTCTACTCAAAATACAAAAAAAAAAAAAAAAAAAAAAGCCAGGTGTGGTGATAGGCACCTGTAATCTCAGCTACTCAGGAGGCTGAGGCAGGAGAATCACTTGAACCTAGGAGCTGGAAGTTGCAGTGAGCCAAGATCACCCCACTGCACTCCAGCCTGGGCGGCAAGAGCGAAACTCCATCTCAAAAAATAATAATAAAATAAAGCCACATCTGTGTTTGAGATTCCCCAGGAAGAGCATGAAGGGTCACAAGCAGGTCTCATGGAATCCTGGGGAATGTGGCTTAACAATGCTGGAGGAGAAGCCCACAGAAGTGATTGAGAAGCAGGGAGAGTGGATGGAGAACCCAGATGTGTGGTGGCCACAGGCCACAAGAGGAGAGAATCTCAACAAGAGACAGGGACAGACCAGGCCAAATGCAGCAGTGAGATTCAGGCACATGAGGAAGAAAACTTTTCAAAGGATTTAGCAAATGAGAGGTCCCTGACCTTGGCAGGAAAGGTTTAGTTCAGGGCTGGGGACAGAAGCCAAACCACACAGCCCTCTGCAGAATCCCAGCCCTCTGCAGCTCCCTCCATGGGGGATGGACGCTTGAGGAAGGATGATGCAATGGGAGGAAACCACTGCTTGGCCAGCTGCAGCCTTGTCCTCATTGCACAGACCATTTCTCCTCCTTGCCTCCAAGATGAAATCTAAACTCAACTTGGCATCCAGCCTTCGAAGATGTGGACCCAGCCAAGCTGTGGCCTCCCCTGCCCAGCCTCCCTTCTCCATATTGCAGGATCCCCACTCCCCCCATTCCTTGGACTGCTCCCACTCCCACCACCAACTATCTAGAGCCTACTCCACCTTCTGTGGTGGCACAAATGTCACCCCCTGTAATGAAAACAAGGTCACTCCTTTCTCTGGGCTCCTTGCACCTCTCTGTATCTGCCTTGAATTATATTGGCCAGATTCAAGTGGGATTTGCTCCCAGGGTGGGGACAGTGTCTGTGTTTTCTGTTCCCCACAGGGCAGAGCACACCGGTCTGGCATGAGTAGGAGCCAGTAGCCTTGTTGGGTGGCTATGATGTGCCCTGCAAGAGTTTCCCAGGCCAGGGAGACCAAGTGGGCATCTTCAGGGCCACGTCTGTCCCTTTCCACTCCTACAGACCTGGCTTTAGAGAGCTCAGGAAGGAAGCAGAACAATCAACAGAGACGAGTGAGGGCTTTCTTCTTCCCCTCTCCTCTCTGGAGGCTTCCCAGAGGGCAGCTGCTTCCTTTCTCTCTTGTTTTAGAACAAGAAGACATGATTGTGACCAAATTTAGAAAACAACCAAAAATTCAAATACAACCCATATTTTAAAATCCATTTCAACAGCTCCACCCCACTAAAAGGAATGTCACTTTTGAGCAATGTGGGTGAGGAATCAGCAGCAGAAGTAGTAGCAAGGTGGGCTGTGGTGTCATGGGTTTGGGGTCTGAAGGCTAGGGAGGGAAGAGGTCTTCCCGCCAAGGACAGACAATCCCACCTCACCAGCAAATGGGAGAGATGATGAGGGAGAGTAGAGCCAGGCATGAGAGCAGACAGGCCCACATTCAAGGAAGCATCTTCTTGGCTTCTTGTTTCTGCCAATTGCTGGAGAGGACGGATGCTTCTGGAAGCCACCTCAGAGACCAACCACAGCGGATGGGCCCTCCTTAGCACAGAGCTACTTTTAGCCCATTGTTCTACTGTGGGGAACAGAGGGAAACCCAGGGAACCAAACAAACAGTGTCGCCTGCCTTCTGTAATAATAGTAACCAGGTAGGGGGTGTGGACTCTGTGCCAGGTGCTATAGCTAGGAGGCTTTTAAAAATATTGTTTCCAGGAATTCTACATGAGTCATGCTGCCTCAGAGATTTTTATAAGGGGAAAAAAGGTCTTTATGAACCAGAATGGAAGAGATTGATTTATCAGGAACAAATGTAAAAGTTTGCTTTGCAAGCATGGCATTCAAGGGGCAGTTTTGATAAGGTGTCAGGAATTCTGCTGTGTCCTCTGGCCACCATAATAAGAGATAAAGAGTCCAGAATAAAGGAGGCTGTCATCTCACTGAATTTGGTTCCCGTCAGCCTAAATGGGACCCATTCTCTTCGAGTCTCAGTTTCGTTTAAAACTTGGAGCTAGAAAATGCCTCCTTCATGAGGTTATTGTGGAGAGTAAACAAGGAATGTATGAGAATTAGTTAGCACTGTACCTCACAAGTAGTGCACACTTAGTAAATGGTAATAATCAGAAGTGCTGTTATAAACCTTGGCATTTAAATGGAGTTCAGGTTTTCTCCCAGAGGTAGGAAGAATCTGGGGACAGATGTTGACTTCATGCAACTGAATTTTTGTTAGGAAAGAGAGTAATTCTGTGTATTTCCAAGCAACAGAACTATGCTCACCGGGCAAAAGTTATTATCCAGCCAATTTCAGTCAAATAAAAGGAAGTATGATCACAAAAAAAGACTGGAAGGACGTAATTCCAAATGGTGCTGTCTTTGGGTGGTGAGAACTTAAGTGGTTTCTTTATATTCTTGTGTAGTTTCCAAATTTTCAGCAGTAATCTTATATTTTTAAATAATTTGAGAAAAATAAAGTGTTAAAGAAAAAGAAGAATTTCACACACATCAGGAATGCTGTTATAGGAATGGGAAACCAAGCTGGATTTGAGATTCTACCAAATGTGAATCTAGTTTCCCAGCATCAGAAAACTGAAATCCATTCCCAACAGAGGCAATGCAGCTGGAGAGGATCCTGCTCTCATCTCTTGGGCCACCCCCACTTGCACCCTCAGAGGACAGACAGCAGACACCTGACAAAGGACCAACTACTCCAATAGAAGGTGTCGCCAAGGGCCTTGGAAGCCTGTGAGGTAGGGAGGAAGTTTTTCACCCCAGCATTAGGGCAAGGATTCCCTCTAGGCAACACAAAAGGACAGTTTCAATCCAAGAAAGCTGATTAGATAGATAGATAGAGTCCTGGCCTCATTCTTCAAGGTATGGCCAATCTCACCAACAGAGTGAGATTGGCTTTTAATTAAGAAAACAGCCTTGAGTTGGTTTCTAAAAGGCAGACTCTTGGAGTAAGAGGCAGGGGCAGGTGATGGGACAGACGTTGGAACCGGCAGCAGAAGACATGGGTTCTGGTCCCAACCTTGGCTACCCTGGCTGTGTGATACTGAATCAGCCCCTTTGCTCTCTAGGCCTCTGGCTTCCCCATCCGTAGTGTCTGGAGGTTGGACGGAATGAATTCTAAGCTGTTATCCAGCTCAAAGTCAGCCACTTGATGCCATAGGCCCTTGCCACACTTTCTCCCGAGACTCCAAGTATCCACGGTCCAATGGACCTGAGAAGCCTTTCAGCCCTATTGTTCTATTCCTGCTTTTAATGAAGCCACATCTGGAGTGTATCTCCTCTGAGCCCTGTTTTGTACAGTTCCTCACAGCTGGGTCCCCATAAATCAATTTGTTCTGCAGACAAGTTCCCAGAATTGTCCAGAATCTTACCCAGAAAAGGCAGTTTGATTTCCCTTCAGCTTCTGGTTGCAAAGGTTGTGCACAGAGCCCAGTCCACATCAGGACAAGCTCTCTGAGTCTTTCAGATCCTACTGCCCGCAGGGTTCTGCAGAGTGGCCGAGGTTCATCCTCCCTTCTCCAGGCACAAAGTATGAACTAGCCTCTGGGGCCTCCGCCTGTCCCCTCTGAGGGAGCCGTGCCCTCAACTCCACAGTGAAAAGATTGGGCTAAAATGAACCCTAAACATCCCTGCAGCTCTTGGATTCAGAGTTCTCCCAGGGAGATGGACTAATTGTGAGAGAAGTGTTGAAAAGTTGATATTCCTGCAGATGGAGAATGAAGGAGAATTGGGAACGTCCAAGGACTTCTTTGTTCTACCACAGGCAGCAAACAGCACAGAACTCAGGGCTTCTGTGAAGAGCAACAGTTCCCAGACCCTCTGCTGGCTGAGGCTGATCTGGTTCCCAGGACACTTCTGGGATTGAGCAACCCAGGATCTTTGTCTGGTCAGCATCTGCTCTCCCTCAGGAAGTGGTCCCTGAGCTCCAATTCTGGCTGGTGCCCCAGGCTCCCAGCTTGGCCCCCTTCATCTCCTTCAATCCTCACCACCCCCGCAGAGGTACTAGCACTGCCCCTATAATACAGAAGAGGAAATCGTGGCTCAGAGTGGGTAAGTAACTGCTCAAAGTCCATGTGACCAAGCAGAATTTATACCCAGGTTTCTCCTACTGCAAATCCTGGCCTGTTTTCAATCGATCACGCCAAACAAAGGCAAACTGAGGTCCCTAATTGTTTCCCTACTAATAAGAGTTTACACTCAGACTCCATTTGGGGAAATTTTTAAATATAATTTTTATCAAAGGAATACAAGTATTTAGCTTAAGAAGCTTGGCTGGGCGCGGTGGCTCAAGCCTGTAATCCCAGCACTTTGGGAGGCCGAGACGGGTGGATCAAGAGGTCAGGAGATCGAGACCATCCTGGCGAACACAGTGAAACCCCGTCTCTACTAAAACTACAAAAAAAAAAACTAGCCAGGCGAGGTGGTGGGCGCCTGTGGTCCCAGCTACTTGGGAGGCTGAGGCAGGAGAATGGCGTGAACCTGGGAGGCGGAGCTTGCAGTGAGCTGAGATCCGGCCACTGCACTCCAGCCTGGGCGACAGAGAGAGACTCCGTCTCAAAAAAAAAAAAAAAAAAAAAAAAAAAAAAAAAAAAAAAAAAGCCTAATCATTCTCAAGGTTTATAATAAAATCAGCAGTTCCCCATCCCACCTCTGCCCACCCCCAGATCTGGCTCCCAAGAGAGACTCTATTCTCAACTCCTCCAGCTATTTCTTCCTGTGTTTGCCTTCGTAGTTTTGTTTGTTTGTTTTGAGACAGAGTCTCGCTCTGTCACCCAGGCTGGAGTGCAGTGGTTCGATCTTGGCTCACTGCAACCTCCGCCTCCTGGGTTCAAGCAATTCTCCTGCCTCAGCCTCCCAAGTAGCTGGGATTACAGGCATCTACCACCACGCCTGGCTGATTTTTGTATTTTTAGTAGAGACAGGGTATCGCCATGTTGACCAGGCTGGTCTCGAACTCCTGACCTCAGGTAATTCACCCGCCTCAGAATCCCAAAGTGCTGGGATTACAGCTGTGAGCCAACTCGCCCGGCCACTTTTCAATTTTAGATGATTATTCTTGACTTCCTATTATGGAAAATGAAGGTTTGGGGTCTCACACCATTTTTGTTTCTCTCTCTCTCTCTCTCTCTCTCACACACAGACACACACACACACACATGCACGCAGCCACTCCTCACCCCACAGCCTGCCAATGTTTTACTACCCTCACAGCATCTGGGGTCAGCCTGAGCTGGCCTGGACCTCTCTGCAAGGATACAGAAGAGAGTCTTGATTTTTGGTTACATGCAGCAGATATCGTCCAAACCTCTGTCTTCACTCACTCCCAGAATCCCAGTGAAAACCACACCCCACAATAAAGAAACTAGGGCTGCTTAGCCTGGAGCAGAGTAGATGCAAGGCCATATCCTCGCTCTCCTTGACCTTCTGAGGGTGTCCTGGAGCAGAGAGAGCAAACACACTGGGTGGCTTCAGAGGGATCCCAGAGCAATAAGGGAAGTTGCAGGGAAAGTGATTCCCGCTTCGTCAGGAAGCCACCCAAGAACAGAACGAGGTGGCTGTCGAGTAAGTGGCAGTGGACAAGCTAGGGTTGGCTGACCGTGTATTGGAAACGTGGAGGAGGGATTTCTGCATTCGGAAAGAGTTGAGCACGTGACTTCTAAAGTCCCTTCTAGGTCTATAACCCGGTAATTTGCTTGTTAAAATAACCATTGGTGGCCAGGCGTGCTGGCTCATGCCTGTAATCCCAGCACTTTGGGAGGCTGAGGCAGGCAGATCACCTGAGGTCAGGAGTTCAAGACCAGCCTGGCCAACGTGTTGAAACCATGTCTGTACTAAAAATGCAAAAATTAGCTGGGCTTGGTGGTGGGTGCTTATAATCCCAGCTAGCTGGGAGGCTGAGGCAGGAGAATTGCTTGAACCCAGGAGATGGAAGTTGCAATGAGCCGAAATAGTGCCACTGCACTCCAGCCTGGGCAAAAGAGTGAGACTCCATCTCAAAAATAAACAAATAAATAAATGAAAAATAACCATTGGCAATTAGAATCCAGTGGTGCTTTGCAATCATGCTTGAGTTAATAACTTGAGCCACCCAATAGACACACCCATTCTGGCAATTTCTTTATAGGATGCTGAAATAACTGTCTTAAGAGTCTCATGAGCAATCTGTTCCACTGACCCTTACCTCATAAAAGAAAGGATTCGAGATGATTCACAGAGGAATCATGAAATGGCGATTGAGACAGAACTCTCTATCCCCTGGGTATTAAGCACACTGGAGATGGATAAGGGCTGGATGGAGCAATCACAGTCGATTTGGCCACTGCCTGTGGACCTCTGACTGAGCAGCAGGAGCGTCAAAGAGGGAAACTGAAGAAATACCTCCCACCTCCGTCCCGTTTAAAAGAGAAAGAGGGCAGAGTGTGACATCGCAAGGATGAAATTCCACCTGGACAGCTGCATGTGGAGGAGCATGTTTGGTCCACACGCAACTCTGAACTTGGAGCCCTGTCCCTAGCTCTTCTCCCTGACTTGACACTTTTGAAAGAAATGTGCTTGCCCAGAGATATAAATCAGCTATAAACTCCTGCACTCTCCAAGCGGGACAGACTCTCATTAACTGTCAGGTTGTAACTGGCAGTGTTGTGTAAATGGATTAAGAGTGATCAGGGAATACGAGCTGCCTGACTTGGGCAGGCCCTCTCCTCCCCTCCCAGAGAGAGGAAGACAGAGCTGTTTGAGCTCTGGAGCAAGACTAAGTGCAAATCCCAGCCCTGCCACTTATTATCTGTGCAACCTTAGACCAGTTCCTTAGCCTCTCTGAGTCTCAGTGTCCTTACCTTTTAAAGCAGGGGTAGTGGGTGGGAGGTGGAAGTTTTTTAATTTTGAGAATTAAAATAGCTCATTTATATGAAATGCTTAGAAAAGTGCCAAACACATGGTATTATTATTATTATTATTATTATTATTATTACCAGCAGCTGCAAACAGAAGGTAGCAACCTTCAGCTAACTGACTTCATAAGATCAAACAAAGTATTTGTTTAAAAAAAAAAACCTTGAAAGTTGTGTATAGGTGTGAGAAATTTGGTGTGCAGTGTATTAAACCTCACAAACATTAGGAGACTGTAAGAGGCCAGTATTTCCAACTTCACTAATTAAATAAATATCGTGGCTATGATACACCAAGCTGTGCGGCAAAGTCTCTAGAACTTTTTGTCAAGATAGGAAATGAATTTGACTTTAAGATGTAATATAATGTAATACAGCAAAGCCAATTGTTGAAGATACAATTTTTAAAAAGAGGGAGAGAGTACCACTGTAACACTTTAAGAAAAGTGACACACCCACTTCGAACACATTTAGAACACTGACTACCAGGCAGAGTGATGGGAATCGGTCCCTGACTTGCTGCATGGTATCCGGCAAACCCCTCCCCTCCCTGGCTTCAGTTCCCCATCAGCTACATCTGGCACTACATGGTCTCTGGGAGCCTTCCGAGCCTGCCATCCCGGGATCTCTGACTTGGAGGATTTTTAGACCAATAGACTTGGTCGCCAGGAAAGCACTGTCATGTTTCCTGAGCCGACAACACCATCTAGTGTGTGTGTGCAAGGAAAACACGACTGCCTGGCCAACCAGGTGCTTGCTCCTCGCTGTCTCATTCTCACGTTAATATCTTGCTACCCAAAATATGGTCCACAGACCAGCAGCAATTGCATCACGTAAGAGCTTAGGGGACATGCGGAATCTCAGACCCCATCCTAGACCTACTGAACCTGAGTTTTTGTTTTTAATTTTGAGATGGAGTCTCTCTCCCAGGCTGGCGTACAATGGCTCGAACTAGGCTCACTGCAACCTCTGCCTCCTGGGTTCAAGTGATTGTCCTGCCTCAGCCTCCTGCGTAGCTTGGAATTACAGGCATGTGCCACCACACCTGGCTAATTTTGTATTTTTAGTAGAGACTGGGTTTCACTGTGTTGGTGAGGCTGGTCTCGAACTCCTGACCTCAAGTGATCCATCCACCTTGGTCTCCCAAACTTCTGGGATTACAGACGTGAGCCACCACACCTGGCCTGAATCTGCCTTTTAACAAGATGCCAGGGGATTCCCACCATGCACATGAAAGTGTGAAAAGCACTGTCTTAATAGGACGAGAAAAGGGAAGTAGGTTAGTGAAGGAAATTTAAGTTGAACAGATATTCAACCTATAAAGAAATCCAGAACTGGCCCCTAGAAATAAAACAAATCCTTTCCAACAGACATCCTGTGACATGACAAAGATTCCATTTCTTGGGAGTTTTTGGAAGTTTTCAAAACAGAATCTTCTTGAATGGTGAGTATCTGATGACAGCGATGGTTGTTCCTGAGCCCAAGTTTCCAATGCACCTGCATTGTCTACATTGCTATTTACGTAATAATGCCACCAATGAGTCTCCGTTTCCAGGAATTCAGCATGAACTCGGCCACTCTGAGCTCCTAGCGGCCACACTCAGGTCGAAGCCACGTGGCCCTGTGACAACATGGCAGCTCACTTCTTCAAAGCCAGCAGCAGACACTCTCAACAGGTGGACTCTAGGAGCTGAGGTTCTCAGTCCTACAACCACAGGGAATGAATTTTGCCAAAAAACAGTGAGCTTGGAGGAAGACACCAA